CACACCCCACCCCCACCACCATCCCATCCCAGCAAAGGCGACCTCACCTATGTCCTTCACCTCCCTGCAGGTCTCCTCTCTCCTAAGTCCCCTGGCAGCTCAGACAACCACTATGACAGACACTTGTTTTGAATTACCCTGCTTGGTGGTTATACAACTGTATATTATGCTTGGAAATCACAAACAATGAATGACACAATGAATCTTTTTGCAGGATTTGTTGTGCCCATTTGCAGGAACTTCTCTAAAAGTCTACTCTAAAAGTCTACTCCCAGTAGTGGATTTGCAGGGTCAAGGACATAACCAACCACAACTTGATTGTATTAACAAATTACCCTCCCCCAAGGATTGAGACAATTTACACTCCCATTAGCCTTGTATCAAAGCTGCCATCTCCTCATACCTTTGCTAGCAGTTGCTCACTGAGGTATAGTAAGAAATATATTTGGGTTTTGTCCAGGTTCCTGGCACAGAACTGCTAAAAGCTCTTGGAATTTCCTAAGTGATAGGAGCATCTTTTATTATTCATAAGGAGCCCCTTTCAATCACATCTATTTTTATACTAATGAGGTGACTTAAAGGGTGCTCCTGGATAGCTTCAGAATGGGGCTGGTCACAGAAGGAGCAAATAATTAGTGGGCTGGAACTTTCAGCACCCCCCCCCCACCACCCTAACCTCCCAGAAAGGTGTTGGAGGGGGGCAGTCTGAAGATTAAACTCTCTAAAAACTCTTTAACAAGGAAATGTGATGAGTTTCCAGGCTGGTGAACACATCCAGGCAGTGGGAGGCTAATGCCAGCAGGACCCGGAGGGTCCATGTCACCCCCCCACACCTTGCCCTATGCATCTCTTCCATTTGGCTATTCCTGAGTCCTTTATAATAAATCATAAACACAAGTAAAGTGTGTTTCTGAGTTCTGAACAGTTCTAGCAAATTATGGAAACTGAAGAGGGTCTCATGGGAACTCTCGATTTACAGCCAGTTGGTTAGAAAGTGGCCTGGGACTGAATTTCCAATTATAAAAAATAAATCTATAGTAGTTAGTTACTACTGTAGATTAGTAGTAGTTACTCTGAGCCTATAATAATAAAAGTATTTAAAGACTCATATCCATATAATCAGTTCATGACAATGGCTACCCTTACTTAAAAAAGAAAAAAAATAATGGTTACTCTCACCTCCTTGCAACATAGTGCCCTCAGTTACCTTTCTGTGTCCTTCTAGTCCTTCAGGAATGCTTATGATGTTGTCTGCATTTACAAAAGGAGAGGGGCTGGAGGCATAAAGACAGTATGAATGACCGGACACTAATTCCCCAAAGCTTTATATCAAATGCAGGTAGGAGCTAGTCCCTTACAGCCCACAACCACACCTCCTGCTGCTGAAATGCCCTGGGTGGTCCCCTCCCACACTGACTTTTGATGGCCCTGTGTGGCCAAAGCATGCAGAAGTGTTGTTATGTGACTTCCTAAGCTAAGAACCCTTACAACTTTCACCTTGCTCTCTCATGACACTTGCTCCAGGGGAAGCTAACTGCCACGTAAGAATTCTAATTACCCAGGGACAAGTATGCTGTGAAGAACCCCAGGATAGCCATGTGGAAGGTCATGTGGGGAAAACAAAAACAATGCCGGCCAGCTCTCAGCCCAGATGCCAGACATGTGAGTAAAGAAGCCATCTTGGACCACAAAGACTCAGCAGACACCACGTGGAGAAGAACTGAAAGCTCACACTTAGGGCCCTATTCAGGCCATGACAACATCTCCAGCCAACTGAGCCATTCCAGCTAAAGCTCCAGACGCGATGGGTTTGAGACAAGCTGTGACCTGCCTAAATATGTGGCCCACAGAATCATGAGCACAATAAAATGGTTGTTCTTTCATGCCACTAAGTTTTGGGGTGGTTTGTTACACAGCAATAGATAACCAGAAAAATGCAAATATTATTGGTGACATTTATTAAAAAGATGAGTCCAACTTGGACTGCAGTTCTAAAGTGAATGGTATGATTCAGAGAGCCTTTGCTTGCGGCAGTGAGAAAGAAAGAATGCACCAGTTCATATTTCCTTGGAAAGCTTTTAAAATAAATCTGACCAACCTAACTAATTCTAAAAGCTCTTGAAAATACTAAGGGACCAATATATTATCATGAATCACACACTAGTTTGAAATATGGGTCTCCCGGCCTCAGCCTTCAGGTCATAGCACAAATGTCAGTTGTTCCACAAGTCTTCGAGCCCCACGGCTTCCCACCCTCTGCTGTGGCCACCCACAGCAGCCTCTCCTCACCAGCCTTCATCCCAGCTCCACCGCGTGAGCCTGCATGGCCTGTTTACCTGCATGCTTCCCACACGAGATGGGGCTTTCACCACAGAGGGTAATAGTTAATACTTCTCTATATTGAGTTTACAGGTATTTTTCTTTCTTTTTGTCTGTAGTTTCTAAGTTTCCTATAACACGTAATCTTTTACAATAAGAAAAAAGAATACATTTTTAAGGATTTTGGTTTCCTAGGTCTGCTGTTAGACAGGTACAAGTCAAAAGATGTATGGCCATCCATTTCTTTACCTGAAAAACGGCAGGAACTGGAATAAGTGGTCTCTAAGACCCCTTCCAGATCTAAGATTCTGTAATTTTATGAAATAAACAGCTGAAAGAAATTGAAGGAAAAGAGACAAACTTCCATCTTCTATTTCCCACACACCCCGGAAGGACAGTAGGCACTCAACAAAGAGCCAGTAACTGGGGGCACCTGGGTGACGCGGTCGGTTAAGTGTTCGACTCTTGGTCTCGGCTCAGGTGGTGATCTCAGGGTCCTGAGATGGAGCCATGCGTCAGGCTCTGCACTCAGCACGGGGTCTGCTTACGTTTCTCTCTCCCTCTGCCCCTCCCCGCCCCCATGAACACAAGCGCCCACTCTTTCTCTCCCTCTCTCAAATGAATAAATCTTTTAAAAAAAAAAATCTAGTGACTGGTTTTCTGACTGATCAGTGAGGCAGTAGAGTTAACTCAAGTACTGCATGCAGGTAAGCTTATACTAGGAAAAAGTCCAAATCGAGTACCAGGAGAACTACTTCTAAAAATAGTCCTGTCCCTATCTCAAGCCTTCTGGCCTCAAGTTGCTTTACAAACGCTAGACCTCACTTTCTCAATCTATCAAATGTGAGAATTATGCCCTCAACTCCTATCCCAAAATAGTGTGGATCAATAAGTGACGAAAAAGCAGATGTGCTATCGGCATCTTCTCAGTTTTACCAGCTCGAAGCGAAACTGTATTAACTAACGTTGATTCAGTATATGCTACTTCAGCAACACCTGTTTTGGATGAGGAACTTCTACAGACATCTCTGAGAAAATGAATAAAGACTGATTTTAAAGATGATAAACTGCACTGGAAAGCTATTAAGTTTCTGAGGGGGTAGTAAGTACAGGTCACAGGTGAACATCCTAGTGTAAATAAAGCAAAAAACCGGGGGCGTGGCTGGCTCAGTCAGTAGAACATGTGACTCTTGATCTTGGGATTGTAAATTCCAGCCCTATTGGGTAGAGATTACATAAAAATAAAAAAATCCTGGGGCACCTGGGTGGCTTGGTTGGTTAAGCATCTGACTCCTGATTTTGGCTCAGGTCATGACCTCAGGATAGTGGGATCAGGCCCCACATCGGCTCCACACTCAGCATGGAGTCTGCTTGTCCCTCTCCATCTGCTCCTCCTGCCACCTGTGTGCACACACTCTCTCTCCCTCTAAAATAAATAAAATCTTTAAAATATTTTTGTAAATATTTATTTTAAAAATAATTAATTAATTTGAAAATTTTAAAACTCCTTAAAATAAAAAAAGAAAGCAAAAAATCACCTTCCCAGTGGAAAAGAAAGACTATTACTGCTTAGGAATTCTTCCTGGGGCAAGATTTCACCCAAGCAAATAAATACAACAAAATCCGTTTCTCTTGCCTGCCTTCTTTCTTGAGGAAGGGCTCCAAAAGGGACACAGAGTGAACTTGCCACCTTACAACCACAAGGGGTCAACGTGTGGAAGATACGTGTGGGAAGGGGAATCTGGCCAAACAGAAAGGAAGAACACAGGCCAAAGAAAGGGAGAAATGGGCATGAACTTGATGTCAGTAAGGGACAGCATGTGATAGGGGAAATTTCTCCGATAAAGTAAAGAATAAAATCTATACTTTGTGCAGCCAGAGACGAATGAATTCCAAAAAGCTATGAGATCAGTTTTAGGACAAGTGGCTTGCTGAAATTAATAGCAGAATTCTAAAACCATAAGGCTTCAGTGACCTGAGGATCTAAGCCAGAAAGTAGGGAACAAGGAGGCAGCAGGTCAGCACGATTTGATTTATCTACCTCAGGAAAGAACAGCTGTGACATGCTGGAGGAAGTATGAAACGAAAACAGAAAACACTCCCGGCTTCTAGGAACAGAACATTATCTGGGCTCTGAGATTCTAAACAAAGAGAAAAGCAGAACAGAAGTTCTGTCCGTCGTGACTGGGTGTGGGGTGCCATCCACGCACTGTGCTTTAGCAAGGAGGTGGGCTGTACACACTTAGGGCAGCACCAGGGTCACTGACAGAGAGCACAGGGCACAGACTGGTTAGGGAAGCCTGGCTCCGCTGCTCCCAAACTGCCCACTACATCATGTCTGGAAGCAAAGCTAGGGATTCAAAGAATAAAAAAAGCCACCTCGCTCATATACCAGCAGCCATCTTAGATGAGTGCACGGATTCATGCACACTTGGCCTCTTCTACTCACCAAAAGAAATGCAAATGCTTCACACCATCGGCTTTAACAATTACTCAGGACAAACCTTTCTATCTCTGGAGAATTATTTTCTCCTTTATTAACAATACTGCTGATGGTAATTCAAAAATTAAGAAATGAACTTTAAAAGCAGCATTAAAATCAAATATAAGATAAAAGGAAAAACATTATCGTAGAAAGGATTACCCACATCATGTATCAAAAGTGCCAGTACCAGACTCACCTTTCAAACCAGATCGACTGGCAGGCCTCCCTACACTATTCCTCTGGTGCTTGGCAGACATGCGTTTCATCTGCCGAGGTGTGCTGGGGGGAGAGGTGCCATAAAGGTTCTCCGTATTGGTTTCATCTGAAAAGTCCTCTGGATCAGACTCAGAATTCTTGCAAGCTGAATCTCCCAATGTGCGCTCTTGCCTATGAAAGACAGAAAGCAAAGAAAATACTCAGGAACGTATTAAGTGACCTCAAATTTAAACTACTTGAAGCTTCTTTTAAGAACTCTTTGTAAAACTTTTCTATGACTACGTCCCCTCCTCAGCAATGCGGTCTTTCTCCTCTATTTGCACTAGTGGAACTCACAAGGGAGTAACGTGTGTGACGGCTTCTGCTCGGAGCCCAGACAACACGAATACCACATGGGCAGAGCCGGGGTGCAGCTTCTGCTGTTTATGGGATTCGGACAAAAATGAGTTTAAACCTAAAGACTTACAGACTGAGGAGAAGGAGAGCAAAGGGCTAGAAGATACAACTGAGCGAGAACGGAGTATGCAGCTGCGTGCCAGGCACCGGAGGCTCGGGGACCAGTGGGCAAGTACAGCCCTGCCCCGGACCTCAGGGGGGCGCTTCCTCCTTTCGAAGCACACACAGCAGGAAGCACAGGCACACCCTACTGTGATCGGAGCAGCAACGCAGGGGTACGGTACTGACAACTTAGTGTAGGCCAGTGTTTCTATGTCTTCTGCAAACCACCACAGTGCAGAGCTCAGGGGGAGCAGTGGGGGAGAAGGACGCGGTGGAAGAAGAAAAAGCAATTAGCTTCTCTTTATCTTCAAAATGCAACTCCTCATCAACTTGTTCTCTGGTAATGCTTCCTGCCCATCCTCTATCCCCAGCCAATTTCTCAAATAATATCACTATTTTGATGAAGTTCTATTTTTGCAAAGCTAACAACAACAACAACAAACTTATTGATACAAACAGAACAAATACAATCCCCAAACAGCAAACTAGAAGGAATCAATCATGAAGTTCCTTTCGGATATACACCACAGTCTATCCCATTCTGAATATTCTTTCTAAAATACACCTCATAGGGCGCCTGGGTGGCTCAGTTGGTTAAGCGACTGCCTTCGGCTCAGGTCATGATCCTGGAGTCCCGGGATCGAGTCCCGCATCGGGCTCCCTGCTCGGCAGGGAGTCTGCTTCTCCCTCTGACCCTCCCCCTCTCATGTGCTCACTCTCTATCATTCTCTCTCTCTCTCTCAATAAAAAAAAATTTTAAAATACACCTCATAGTTTACAAACATAACTCCAAATTATATCCAAGCTATAATCAGTGTTCTTCCTGGCAATTTATATCCTGATACAATATCAAAGGTATTACAAAATCAAGATAGAAAAAGAAAAACCACTCTAAAATAGATGATACCATTATTACTGAGTTATACTGACAAAACTTCAGACAACGAACTTTCAAAAAATAAAAATGCTGCAGAATTATATAAATTTACAGCACTGAAATCCATAAAGAATCCCTCAGGTCAAAACTGATTTAACCGACAAGATTACTCTAGGCACTGTGAGTACTGTGCCCCCACACATATTTAAGACATACAAATGAAATACCCTGAAAGCTAACTACAACAAATAAAACCGTGAGCAAAGTTAAAAATAAGTTTTAATATACGTATTCCCTTAGGCTAACCACATCTATAACTGAAGCATCAGAGTCATACAACAAATAATACAACTTCCAGATGAACTTGAAATTCCCTATATCCACTTCTACACTCACTGTAAAATAGTTGACTCAGCTAATGAGAAGACATGGCTATCCATAACAAGGTTGTTAATCTCATCTCCCTAGGTTGTAGTGCTTACTTTACTAGCACAGTTTTGGAATGATTAACACTGCAGATTTTGTGGTCTGAGGGACTTCGGTTCAAATCCTGACTGTGCTGGCTATTAGCTGTGCAAGCCACACCGCACATTTACAAAATAAGGATAATACTTAGACTCCAATGAGGATTAAATCCAATAATGCACGCTTTTTTTTTTTTTTTAAAGATTTTACTTATTTATTTGACAGAGAAAGAGACAGCGAGAGAGGGAACACAAGCAGGGGGAGTGGGAGAGGGAGAAGCAGGCTTCCTGCGGAGCAGGGAGCCCAGTGCGGCTCGATGACCTGAGCCCAAGGCAGGCATTTAACAACTGAGCCACCCAGGCGCCCCTAATAATGCATGCTTAACAAAAGAGTAAAAATAGACTGGGGGTTCACTCAATGATTGCTACTATTCCTATTATAAGCCTCGGAAGTCACCGGACCCATTTCACCACCCACTGAAAGAACATGAGTTCCTTACTCATCTGCATAACATTAAGAGTAGGGGCACCAGGCTAGCTCAGTCGTGGTTGGGAGTTCGAGCCCCACGCTTAAGTAAGCAGAGCTTACTTAAAAATAAAAATCTTGGGGGTGTCTGGGTGGTTCAGTTGGTTAAGTGTCTGCCTTCAGCTAAGGTCCCGATCCCAGTGTCCTGGGATGGAGCCCCCCATCAGGCACTCTGCTCAGCGGGGTGTCTGCTTCTCTCTCTCCCTCTGCCACTTGCCCTGCTTGTTCTCTCTCTCTCAAGGAGCCCTGCATCGGGCTCCCTGCTCTGAGCCCCGCGAGAAGCCTGCTTCTCCCTCTCCCACTCCCCCTGCTTGTGTTCCCTCTCTCGCTGTGCCTCTCTCTGTCAAATAAATAAAAAAATCTTTAAAAACAAAATGAAACAAAAATAAACAAAATCTTTAAATAAAATAAAATAAAAATCTTTAAAAAAAGAAGAGAGAGAAAGAAGTCTGCCTTTGAGTTCAGCATGGTATAGGACTGGAGACCATTTTAACATTTGTAGCATCTTCTAAATTCTTTCAAATTCAATACTATAACTTTTTTCTTCCCCCAAAAGATAAAGTCAATGGTAAGGAAGGACAATGTATTTCATTACTTCTGTATCTCCAAGTTTCTAGAATAGTGTTGAAAACCATTCAGTGTTTTTTAGCACAATAATATATTTCATATATTAGAACTGTAATCACCACAAAACTACGGTGCAAACATTTAGCCAGTTCAATATATCGAGGCCAGACAGCAAGGAATACCAGGCTAAAGAGAAAAATGGAGTCAGATAAAGGAACATCCAAGACCTCATTTAGACCATGCTCTCTGCAGTGAGGAGAGACTGAACTCAGGAGTCAGAAGACCTGAGGCTAAGTCACAGCTCTATTAGTAGATAGATGACTGCATACCTGACATAAACTTTCTTTCTAAAACTAAAAAAAAAAACTAATATATAATTTGTAAAGTCAACATTCCAAAATACTTCAGGAAATTCAGTTGTGAATATTCAAAATAATCAGAACAAAATACTGGAAATAAATGGCTATGTGGAAAACATTAAAATATAAAACAAGCATATAAAATGGTATGTTTTACTAGTACCCAGCAGTATTGTGTAGATGAATAAGTTAATAAAATGCAAGTGACAGTGGAAGAGGATTTTCTGAAGAGGGAATGAAAACGTCCAAACTTTAGTAAGCCAAGTCTCCAAGGGCAGACCTCCATGGCTAAGGACACAGTCATGATCTCAAGAGGAAGAGAGTTTATTTTTCAAATAAGTACCCCTGTCTAATCTACATATGATGGAAATAAGTCTGGTGCTTTAGCAGATAAAAAGAGTCAAAAACAGCACATATAATAAAAACGTTAAGTTTTATGAAAAATTTAATTTGGGGAAACAGAAAAAATATTTGTGTTGTGCTGTCATCCAACTATGGACAAGTTATTCTCTACACATGGAAAATTTCATTTGGCTGCACTCTCCAAATAAAAGTAGAAGACTAAGTCCCTGTAATACTTGTACAGAAGCTCAAGATCTCTTGTTTTTAAACCTGCACCTATCATAAAACAAAGTCTTTATACCCTCACACAGATACAATAAACACGACTGATTTCAAAGTATTTCCAAATTATTTAATTATTCTAACAGCAAACAAAGAATCACATGGAAGCAAAGAGGAATACTGTCATAAACAATGCATTAAAGTAAGATAAAACAGTATATTTCACACTCTTTAATCATTATGCCACACAGAAAAAGAGGTAGAAAAAATGCCATATGGTGCTGCCAGCCACTATATAACTCATAATTAAAATAAATTTTAGAACAGACATTATATAAAGACGAAGTTATGCATTATTAATACTTTCTTAGGACTTACTTAACTCCATCGAGATGGTATTCACACTTACTGGAAATGTTAAGACATTCTACCCAAGTCACTTAGTAACTTAACACATCTCAGTACAAAGTCCAAAAATATTTAAAGGAAAGTCTAGCATTCAATAAATAAAACTTATAATGTCTGCCAACCTATCAAAAGTTACAAGGAAAAGGAAACTATGACCCTAATGAGGGAAAAAAAAAAAAATCAATAATCAGACCAGAAATACTCAAGCAGAACTTGCAAAGATGAAAACTGTATCTGAAATGAAAAATACTCTGGATGGGATTTAAAAGCAAATGAGACACGGCAGAAGAAAAGATCCAAGAACTTGAAGACAAAGCAACAGAAACTATCCAATATGAATTAGGAAAAGATTAAGGAAAAAAAAGAAAAAGAACAGAGCATCAGTTATCTGTGGGACAATATCAAGCAGTATAACACATGTGCTATTAGAATCCAAAATGAAAAAAGGGAGGCACAGAAAAAATCTTTTAAGAATTAAGGGCTGAAAATTTTCCAAATTTGAAGAAAACTGCAAGTTCACAGATCCAAGTAGCTCCACAAACTCCTAACAGAACTTTAAGAAAACTATCAATTTTGATTATGCTTATCATAATCAAATTGCTGAAAACCAACAATGAAGAGAAAAATTGTAAAAGGAGCCAGAGAAAAACAACTCAGTTTGGGGAGTCTTAAGCTAGAAGCAATATATAATAGGGAGTGGGAAGGGAAATCAAGCAAAACTTTCTCTTTTTTTCTGTTAAAAAATTTTTATACACAAAATCTAGGAATATAAACATTAGTGGTGTGTTCAAAAGTACTTGCATCATTTCAGTTAACTAAAACCATCCAAAACCTCATTTTGTATTAGCTCATGTGAGATGAGCTAATGTGGTAGGTTGACTGGTTCAGAATGTTTCCATGGATACCAA